GCCTCTGTCTCCCAAGTGCTGGGGTTAAAGGTGTCGGCCACCACCACCCAGCTACCATCAGTCCTTTTTGTTATCCACCAAAACCAGAAGATAAGCCCCTATTGCACCAAACATCTCCTTTCCCTATGTAGAGAAAGCGGGCACAGCTGTTGTAGAGGCTACGCCACCCTCTGACTGGATCTGAGGTGCGCTCCACGAGCTGGTACTGTAGCCTGGCTAACCACCTCACCTGGGAGATCATAGGTCAAGTAGGGCGCTTACGACTGTTGTTTAACTAAAATGACACAGCAGCAATCGCCTTCTAAACCTCAGTTTATACCACAGATGAAAGCTATACTCAGTCTTAACAAGAGAAGCTTCTCTCTGCAGGGAACATTAGTGCATACAGAGATTCCTGGCTGCCCAGGGCACGAAGTGCAAGTGGAAAGGGAGGGCTCAGCTCTAAACAAGACTTTTACAACCCCCATTGAAGCCTGAGAAACACTGCAGAAGAAAGAACAGGAAGCCTAGAAGAGAACCCGAGGTGAAGGGCTATGAAAAGCACGCCTCTCGACTGCACACAACACTTACGAACCTGAACTCACAGCTCTCAGCACTGTCTGATTGGATTGGACCTGTCAACAGTCAATCATGAAATGATGGGAAGGCTCATCTGGCCCACCTCTTACAGCTAAACCACTAGCTATTAACAAATTCTGGGAGGGGAACAGTCATTAACTGTAGTTGGCTTCCCACTATTGAGCCCCCCAGGCTGTAGAGGATAGCTTCAAACCACGGGCACACAGACAACCGTGGTTAAGATCAGTGTGAGTCACTAGCAATACCACTTTTGGGTATATACCCAAAGGATGCTCAATCGTACCACAAGGACATGTGCTCAACTATGTTCATAGCAGCATTGTTGGTCATAGCCAGAACCTGGAAACAACCTAAATGCCCCTCGACTGAAAAATGGATAAGGAAAATGTGGTACATTTACACAATGGAGTACTACACAGCAGTAAAAAAAAAATAAACATCTTGAAATTTGCAGACAAATGGGTAGAGCTAGAAAACATCATATTGAGTGAGGTAACCCATACCCAGAAAGACAATTATCACATGTACTCATTCATAAGTGGCTTTTAGACATAAAGCAAAGAAAACCAGCCTACAAACCACAATCCCAGAGAACCTAGACAACAATGAGGACCCTAAGAAAGACATACACGGATCTAATCTACATGGTAAATAGAAAAAGACAAGATCTCCTGAATAAATTGGGAGCAATGGGGACCATGGGAGAGAATTGAAGGGGAGGGGAGGGGAAGGAAGAGGAAGGGAGAGGAGCAGAGAAAAATCAATCTAAAAAAAAATCAATGGGTCACAAACCAAGCATGAATGTGAGAGGGAGCAGGTTTTGTAGGTAGTAGGAAGATGGGAGAGGGCTGGGGGTGAGAGCAGCCATGCATGCATACATGAAATTGTCAAAGAGCAAATTTAATGAAATAAGTAATAATGAAATAGACCCAAGAGAGACTTCTGTACCCTTGTTTATTTCAGCATTGTTCACTGCAGCCAAGATGTAGGATAAGCCTGGGTACCCAGCAACATAGGAAGGAATAAGGAAAATGTAAAACATGTATACAGTGGCGTATTAGCCATAATGAAGAACAAATGTATCATTTACAGGAAAATGGACGGCACTGGAAAGCATCATGTTGAACAAAATAAGACATCCTCACAAAGAAAAATATCACACAGATTCTCTCATGAGTGCAATCTAGAGAAAATGATAAAGATGGCACAAAAGTCTGCTGGGAAATGGAAAGAAAACTGGGAGAAATAAGGGCAAAAATTAAGGCTGCTACATGCCTGTCTAAAATGGCCACAATTATGAAACCTAGTGGTTTTATGATTACTATACACCTGTTCGTAAGAGTTTAAAATAATGCATATACACACAGAATAGGTTGTGTTATGATTTGACTCTGAAATAGCTTCCACAAGCTCACGTTCTGAGTGCTGTGGAACCTTTAGGAAGAGGAGGCCAGCTAGTAGAAGCAGTGGGCATTTAAAACATGACCTCTGGCTGCAGATTGTTCTGTCCCCTGGTCCACTGTGACGTGTGACACACGGCCAACACACTCTACTGCTGCCATGAGCCGAAATCTTCTGGAACCAGGAACCAAAGCAGGTCTTTCTTTCTTCAAACTGTTTCTGCGGGTATTTTGGTCACAGGAACAAGACAGTAACTTAGGTGGGTGCCAAGACCTGCACAGTTTTGGATTTGACCTAGTTGAGGTAACGGAAAACGAAGACATAACAGACACACGTGCAGGGAACCGGGGTCCTGAGAGCGGTGCACTCCAATGGAGATGCGGCAGCCGGAAACTCAGGTGGTCTTCTACACAGCAGGAAGGGGGGGGGGATGAGCTAATCCTGGTAGAGGATCTCTGTAGGGGAGCAGTCTCCCATTGCAGGTACCCCAACCTGGGAGAGGAAGCCGTGGTCTGTACAGGAAGCTGTGGTCGTACTCCATGCACACACTGCCAACATCTGTACTCAAACCTGGGGAAGGCCTCGCTGTTCCCATGGGTCTGAGGTTTTGGCATCCTTGACAGGGCCATGCTCACCATCAACAGCACACATCTGCTCAGGATTTCATCTCTCCCCACAGGTGGGGGAATAATTTACCATGCAAACATCAAACACAAATAATGATCACGGGCTACATTTAATATCATAAAGGTTTCAGAGTGGCAAAAATTGAAGAAAGAAATAAAGAAAGAAAGAAAGAAAGAAAGAAAGAGAAAAGAAAAGGACATTACTCTTACCAATAGAACAGACATTTAGATTCCAAACACGTGAGGCAAAAATTTTCTACTAGAAGAAATCTCGGTGATCAACAGAACAGCTGGACAGAAAATCAGCAAGAACAACAGAATAACTCAGTGCCAATGGGATCTAACTGATTTTTTTAAAAGATTTATTTATTATGTATACAGTGTTCTACCTGCACACCAGAAGAGGGCACCAGATCTCATTACAGATGGTTGTGAGCCACCATGTGGTTGCTGGGAATTGAACTCAGGAAGCTGGGAATTGAACTCAGGACCTCAGGAGCAGTGACTGCTCTTCACCTCTGAGTCATCTACCTCCCAGCCCCAGTCTAACTGATTCTTACTGACCACCTTATTTAGCAATACATGTTCTGTCAAGTGCACGTAATATTTCCTAAGATGAAACTCATGATGAAACTTAGGGAGCACAGCTACTGCTGTGAATAACTGCATAGCACTAAGTGTTCATATTAGGGGAAAAACTAAGTCTTAGTCATTTAAGATTCCACTAACAGAAATTAAGCCAGGCATGGTGGTGCATGCCATTAAACCCAGCATGCAAGAGGCAAAGGCAGGAGGATCACCACAACTTCAAGGCCAGCCTGGTCTATACAGTGAGGTCTAAGCTAGCTAGAGATTTATAGCAATGAATGTAGGCCCATATTTCTATATGGTGTGGCAGCCAGGCTCTAAAGTCATAGGCCCCATCCGAGGTGGTCACATAGCTCTGCAGACAAGCTGTCTCTGCCTAACAAAAGGTCAGGATGTTGTTGCTCCTTTCTTTGTAATTTGGAGGATGCCTTATAGAGAAGCTGATTCAAGCCTACGTGACAGCTAGCTTACACAGCAGACAGGTAGATGCGGACGTGACAAAATGCCATTCACCTGGTTACCTAGGAGACAGGTATTTTCCCGCTCAGTTTATGTGTTGGTATAAAAGCTGTTTGGATAATAAACGCGGGGAGATCTTCAGGAGGGAATAAGCCTGAGATGCCCTTCCGTGATGACCATGTAAGCTGTGTCTGATTATTCCTTGCGGCTCCGTACCAGTCCAGTTAGGGAAAATAGTTATCTATGTTGGGGCTCACGGGCTCTAACAAACGAATGAATAAATATTAAAAAGTATGAGCACAGGTAAATAAAGTTGGAAAAACACACAACAGTGAAAAATTATAAAACAGGAAGTCTATTCTTTAAAAAGAAAATCTCCAACAGGCATGACTAACAAAGAAACAGAGAAGACATAAATTTCCAATATGGAGAATGAGAAGAAATTAATACTAAAGATATAGAGACACAAAGCATCAAACAGGAATCCATAAACAACAATATACACAAATTCCACAGCCGTTCTGATTCCCATTGATTACATAGTACTCTATCGGTTGTTCCATTATACCATCTATATAGATTATTCTCTGGTGTTTCCTTATCCAATTGTTCTAGTCAATACTTTCAGCGTGAGCCAAATCGCTGGATGTAGAAGGTCCAGGTGCCTACCATCCTGGACTTACGCTACTGTGCTGGGGCAGTTTGTTTTATGTTATTTCTTAGTGTGGAGAGTTAGGTCTTGCAACACAGAGAGAAGCAGGAAGGAGGCAGAGCGGGGGAAAGGAGGGAAGAGAGGAGAGGACAGGACAGGACAGGAGAGCGATGGCAACCCTGTTAGACTGCATGAGAGGCAAGCCAGACTATGAGAACCTAATGCCCATTCTTGTCGTCAGCTTGACTAGGTCTGTAAAACTAAAACCCACAAGGCTGGGTACAGTTGTGAGAGGTTTTATTTTTTTCTTAATTAAATCATTGAGGTGGGTAGACCCACATTTTTTAACTTGTCTGAAGTGATAGAGTAATTTTTGAATCGTTTTTATTGTTTTGATTGAGCTATATATTTTTTCTCCGCTCTCCTCCCTTCCTCCCCGCTCCCCTTCAACCCTCTCCCATAGTCCCCATGCTCCCAATTTATTCAGGAGATCTTGTCTTTTTCTACTTCCCATTTAGATTAGATCTATGTATGTTGCTCTTAGGGTTCTTTTTCTTGTCTAGGTTCTCTGGGACTGTGAATTGTAGGCTGGCTTTCTTTGCTATATGGAAAAACCCACTTTTTTTTTAAGATTTATTTATTTATTATGTATACAACATTCTGCCTCTATGTATGCCTGCAGGCCAGAGGAGGGCGCAAGATCTCAGTACAGATGGTTGTGAGCCACCATGTGGTTGCTGGGAATTGAACTCAGGACCTCTGGAGGAGCAGCCAGTGCTCTTAACCTCTGAGCCATCTCTCCAGCCCCGGAAAAACCCACTTTTAATCTGGGTCTTTTGAGGTAGGAAGATCCACCTTTAATCTAGGTCATCCCTTCTGTTGGCAGCCTATGTAAAGGACATGGAAGAAGGAAGCTTGTTCTCTTTGTCTGTTTGCTCTCTCTCTCTCTCTGGCAAAACCATTTCTTCCCTGGCCTACTTCTTCGGGATTCTGGTGTATACTGAAGACCAGCTGAGACATCTAGCCTTGTGACCAAACAGCTACTGCATTCTTGGACCTTCTACTGGTAGACAGTCATTGTTGGATTAGCTGGCCTGTAAGCCATTCTAATAAATTCCAAATACATATGTGCGTTTTGTGTTGGTGCGCATATCATGCATACAGGTGCCAAAAGAGCATGTCATCTATTCTGAGAATGAAGTTACAGACTGTGAGCTGTTGGATGTGGGTACTGGGAACCAAACTCAGGTTCTCTGGAAGAGCAGGAAGTGTTAACCACTGAGTCATCTCTCCAGCTCTCTACTTCACCTTCCTAAGAAGCCTCAAGCTGATGTGATAGGCTAGGAGCTACTGGCCCTGGGAATGGCAGGCACTTGCTTCCCTAGCCACCCTCACGTGGGGACACTAATCTCCAGTTCTAAAACAACACTCCTCCACCTCCTAAGCAAGTCCTGGACTTGCTTTCCTAGCACCATGATCTCCTGCACAGAAGGGCCAGAAAGCAGGTTGTTACACACCTTGCCTAGCCTTCCTTTTCTTGGACAAGGACATTCTACTTCTCTCAGGGCTCCCAAGCAATAGACTGGAAAGTTTCTGGGAACACTTGATACACAAGGACCCATAGCACAAGGGGCTTGACCCTGGAAGTCTTACAGGTAACTAAACAATAACAGCATTCCAATTGCCTGAAATCCTGAGTGCTGGCTGAGCGAGGCACTGCACCCCCATCCTCTCCTTGGCAAATGGCAGACTTGTTTCTGCTGTGGGCTACTTCATGAGGAACGCAGAAGCACAAGAGTCAGAAACAGTGGAGAGAGGCCTGGTGTTGGAACCTTGCGGTCTCCAGCAGTTGCTTCTGCATACCTCAGTGTCCCCTCCAGAATGACCCAAAACTTCATCCTGAGATTGTTGGGAGCACTGGAGCTCAGGACAGTGAAGCTTCTTCAAGCCTTCGAGTGCTTGTGTTTCACTTAGGAGACGTATAAGCATCCATGATGCTGAGGATGGACAGACCCGGCACCTGCCCATCTTCCCACCCTCCTAGCGAGCGTCTCTCTTGCCTTCAGACCCGCACTTGTTCCCTTCTAAGCCCAGGATCTGTGGAATCGTGCTCTCTGGGCTCCACAATGACACTCCAAATACTGTCATTGCTGTCTGAAATCTAAAGTGACCTCATTATCTAAACATGTATTCAGGAAGGCAGGAAGCTGTCACATGCATGATTCTCTAGCTCTGGGGACAGTGCCTAGGGCCGAGGACAGACTGTAGGCACCACGATTTCACTTTCTGTTCCTGTGGTTTTCTTTTCCCATAGAAGAGAATGTACAGCATCCTCAGATAAGAAAACAGGAACAAGCAGGCTCATCTGCTCTGTGTCTGTCTGTCTGAGTACAGTGGGAGAAAATGAACCCAGGGTTTCACACAGGCTAAGGACCTGCTCACCACAGAACTACACCCCAAGTCTTTGAATTATTTTTATTATGGAGTTCTGTTGTAGTTGTTGTATTTCATTGATGGCGACTGTTAATCTTTCACTGTGCTGATATGTAAATTGTATTTCATAATGTAAGTATTAAAATACACACACACACATACATATGTACAAACATACATACAGAGCCAGGACTCTTGGTGGCTGTCAACACCTAATGAGGGTCTTGGGATATCCCCCCTCCAGGGGGATCATGATGGATCCACATGAGCTCAGAGCTGTGCCACAGATCCGTTTCATGAGTTCCTGTTTGCTCTCTCCACGGCATCTTCCAAGAGTGGGAATTTTCTGGTGTTACCCCATTCCTCACCCAGCAGGCCCTGTCTTAGGGGTGAGCAGCCTACCCCACCTAGAATAAAGATTTCTCATGTACCTCCTTACCCCACCCACCCCGTGCGTGTGTGACTTGTCCACCTTAACTTCATTCTATAGGAATGAAGCTGTTCTCATTCCAGGGGAAGGAGGGGGCTCCCTGTGTGCTCGGTACCCATGTGCTGGAGTCAAGAGCCCTAATCTATGTAGGACAGGCACTGGGCTGGTACCGACAGGCCAGTCTCTCACTTTCTCTTTCTGTGGTTTCCTTTTCCCATGCAACCGTGAGTACAGCATACTAAGAAGAGAAAAGGGGGAGTGAGCAGGCACAACTGCTGCTGCCCTGTCTGTCTGTCTGTCTGTCTGTCCGTCCGTGAACAGTGCTAGGAGATGAACTCACCACAGTTAGAGTGGAGCAACACAAACAACGAGACGCAGTCATGGGGCAGGTGTATATTTAAAATTCCTCCCCCTCATTTTCTTCTTCAAATGAATCAGTCCCCACTTCTTCATAATCCTTCTCCAGCGCAGCCAGGTCCTCCCTGGCCTCGGAAAACTCTCCTTCCTCCATTCCCTCTCCAACATACCAATGTACGAAGGCCCGCTTGGCGTACATGAGATCAAACTTGTGGTCCAGGCGGGCCCAGGCCTCTGCGATGGCTGTCGTGTTGCTCAGCATGCACACGGCTCGCTGGACTTTAGCCAGGTCCCCTCCTGGCACCACAGTGGGGGGCTGGTAGTTGATGCCCACCTGGGAAACAGAGAAAGAAGACGGGCAACAGAAAGGCACGCAAGTTGGTCAAGGACAGCGTTGGGCAATCTGTCAGTAATAAGCTTTGTTGGCAAGATCTAGACATGGGTGTGGGGTGGAATGGCGTGATGGAGCAGGAGGAGGAACAAGGAAGTTGGGAACATGGGCAGAGCAAAAGGATGTGTGCTGGGGAGGAAATAAAAAAAAAAAGGGAGAGGCATGGTAGCACATGGTAACTTCAGTACCGTGGAGTCTGAGGCAGGAGGATCACAGGGGCTGGAAAAGAAACGGCCAGGCTGTTAAAAAGAGGAAATAAGTTGATGAATGTAGTTAAGTGAAATCGTGGCATGAAAAAGGGCTCTCAAGTGTTTATCTCAGGAGCAAGGGGCAGGAAATACCTTCCCTGTTAAAGGCAAATCAATTTCTAGAATTGACATTATTATCATAAAGTTTATTGTTTTCTAGATGTTTATCTGATGCTCCTTTTAATTTTTTTGCAATAAATTTAGGGAAGTTTCTCTGTCGAGGTGAAGGGCTTTTTAAGAGGTTCCAGGGAGAATCCAGAGAAATAAATTTAAAAGGTCCTTGGGGAGAGAGTTACTGCTCACAAGGCCAGATCTCTAGTAAACAGTTCTCTTAGAAGAAAGGCAGAAACAGCAAGCACAGAAGTCAAAAGTCACACACAGGCAAGCCAACCTCCCGAGATCTGCTAGTACACTGGGAAGTGGGAGTTTCGCAGTGGGGCTTCTACCCTAGAAATCTCCCCACAAAGGCCTCAAGCCAAGGCAGACGGAGAATTATAGGAAACTGGAAGGCATCGAGATGGCAAAGTGTGATATCACCAGTAGGACACTGAGAGCTATGGCAGTGCCCAGAACTAAGGCCGTTGTGTTTACGTTACCAACCTCTTAGATGCGTTGCTTAGGAATACACGTCTTCAGATAGTGCAAGTGCAAGGCACACGGCCACTAAACCAGCAGGTGGCACAGATGTGAAAGAGGTATATATTTTACCACATCTTGCATCTTGCTGCTGTGGCTCTGGCCAGCATAGGCCTCTCTTCCCTTCTCAAAAGTGACATTGTAGACCCTAGTCAAATTGGGGACTAATACCCCTGGGGAGAATGACAGCCGGTGAGGCTTAGCAATACGCATTCTGCCGGCATGTAGTTTTCTGAAAAGCAGCTACCAATGCTAACACCATCTTACTCATAATTCCATACAGCACCTCAGAAGAAGCTTAAACTAGAGGGGGTGGCATTCCCTCTGTGTTCGTCACCCCACTATCTCCACAATTCTTTCATTTTTCCTTCTTCCCACTAACTCCCTTATTAGCTTATGTTGTTGTTTCAACTAAAAAACGGAAACACAGTTTTTTTGATAACCTTGGCTACTTTGGCCAGAATAACACACAAAAATAGGTTGTGTCCAGGAAGGAAAGATGATGTGTGTCACAAGGAGTAGAGCGGTGAGCAGGAAGACTGTGTACCCTTGGCCTGCAGGAACAACACTAATAGGAGGGGAGAAGTGAGACTTCATGACAAACAGGAGTCAATCCCAAAGACGAGGCACTGCCTCGGTGTTACTCTAAGCTGAGTAAGGCTTACAGGGTGCATAGTTAACTCTTAATATATGTTGGGGAAACGCATCTTCTGTTAGAAGAAAGAACTGTGCCTCTCTAGCAATTTGAATCATTTAGTTAACTCTAAAATTGGATCATTTAGTGAACTCTAAAATTAAAGAAGGGTAAAACACTCATTGAGCTTTCTTTTCGGCAAATTGAAAGTCCTCAAGGCATTGTGATTCGGGTCCCTCAGTTTAAAAAAGGAAAAAGTCAAAGATGGTTAACCTTAAATAGCAGCAGAGATAAGCACTTGCTAAGATGGCTTAAGCAGGCCAGCCTTCAAGGGCTGAATGTCTCAGTCAAAGTTGAATGAGGTTAATGTTGCATCGGGTTACGTCATCTCCCAGAATTATCATAAAGACCACAAGTTCCCAAGGTTCATTCTCTCGAGTAATCCCCTCTGCATCCCCAGTTGTCCCCCACCCCAAGTCCTCAATTCTCACCTTGAAACCTGTGGGACACCAGTCAACAAACTGGATGGTTCTCTTGGTCTTGATGGCAGCAATGGCGACATTCACGTCCTTGGGTACCACATCCCCACGGTAGAGCATACAGCAGGCCATGTATTTGCCGTGACGCGGGTCACACTTCACCATCTGGCTGTTGGGCTCAAAGCAGGAACTAGTTATCTCTGCCACAGACAGCTGCTCATGGTAGGCTTTCTCCGCAGAAATGATGGGTGCATACGTGACCAGCGGGAAATGGATTCTGGGATAGGGTACTAGGTTGGTTTGGAACTCTGTGAGGTCCACATTGAGGGCTCCATCGAAGCGGAGAGAGGCAGTGATTGAGGACACAATCTGGCTGATGAGGCGGTTGAGGTTGGTATAGGTGGGGCGCTCGATGTCCAGGTTCCTGCGGCAGATGTCATAGATGGCTTCGTTGTCCACCATGAAAGCACAGTCTGAGTGCTCCAGGGTGGTGTGGGTCGTCAGGATGGAGTTATAGGGCTCTACCACTGCAGTGGAGACCTGTGGTGCCGGGTAGATGGCAAATTCTAGCTTGGATTTCTTGCCATAGTCAAGGGAAAGGCGTTCCATCAAGAGAGAGGTGAAGCCAGAGCCTGTGCCGCCTCCGAAGCTGTGGAAGATGAGGAAGCCCTGCAAGCCAGAGCAGGCATCTGTCTGGGGAGAGCCAGAAACACAGAGAAATCAGAAGAGTCCTGAGACCCCACGTGGAGACAAATCCAGACAAACCCCTTTTGTCTGCATGTCCTATCCTCATAAAAAATCATAATAACCTATAAGGAATAAGACACAAAAGAGGTTGTTTTGGTCTTGGGAGGAGTGGTTAATGTCTAGACTGACAAACTACACATGCGTGCATACGGCTCTGACTTGGAGCTGGACAAAGCAGGAGTAGAAAGTCTCAGAGTTGCCTTTGTGGTGGGCCTTGCCTTCTGAGAGCTCAAATCTTGCTGACTACCCTTGTCCTTGACATATGCTTCTATGAGCATGGTTGACAAGCACATTCAAATATGGAAAGGGCTCGGGGTGCCTGCCGGTCTGAGAAATGTAAAAAGAGCTATGGATTTTTTTTTCTTTTAAGATTTTGAAATTTCAAGATTAAAGTAGAACATGTTTTTAGGTTGACAAACTGTGTGTACTTATAGGATCCACTATGCTGCTGTGGATTTTGTGTGCACTGTGGAATGGCCACACCAAAATGAGCAACACATCCATGAATTCCCAACTTGTAAACACTTCAGCCAGTCATTAACCTTTCCAAAGGCCTCCTCCCCCACGGCTACATCATCATCTTGTAAGATTCAGTGATGGTTAGTGAGATGGCAGAACTACAGTAAGCACTCCATATTGACTCCTGGCAGAACTACAGTAAGCACTCCATGTTGACTCCTGGCAGAACTATAGTAAGCACTCCATGTTGACTCCTGGCAAAACTACAGTAAGCACTCCATGTTGACTCCTGGCAGAACTACAGTAAGCACTCCATGTTGACTCCTGGCAGAACTACAGTAAGCACTCCATGTTGACTCCTGGCAAAACTACAGTAAGCACTCCATGTTGACTCCTGGCAGAACTACAGTAAGCACTCCATGTTGACTCCTGGCAGAACTACAGTAAGCACTCCATGTTGACTCCTGACAGAACTACAGTAAGCACTCCATGTTGACTCCTGGCAGAACTAAGAGAATTTATAGACTCACAGAGGATGTGAGCTATTATCATCTGATCCAGTGGTTCTGAACTTTTGGGCACCACTAGTCTTGTCAATTTTTTTCCATCACATGGAAATGAGAGCTTATAAAGACAAAGTGATGTAACCTACAACGCAACTTAGTAGTCAAGCCAGCCTGATTCAAATCCTAATTCCGCAGCCTCTAGCACTCTTTTTTTTTTAATCTTTACCAAAAATTTATTGCAAACTTTTTGCCAGTGTTCATTTTATTCCATAAGGAGGAAACTTTAGCATTAGTAAAAGGTATGACAATTTTTGTTGGGTCTATTCCTGTTGGTTGACGAAGTCTCAATTTTCCTTTTAGAATCAATTCAGAAATCGTTTTTATATAGGTCTTTGATTTTTTTTGTTCTGTTTGTGTGACAGAAATATCTATTGCGGAATATTATCTTCTCTCTGCATAAGAATTCCAGTGGGGGTGAAGCTGGAGAGATGGCTCAGAGGTTAAGACCACTGCCTGCTCTTCCGGTGATCCTGAGTTCAATTCCCAGCAACCACATGGTGGCTCACAACCATCTGTACTGAGATCTGGTGCCCTCTTCTGGCATGCAGGCATACATGCAGGCAGAACACCGCATACATAATAAACAAACAAATAAGTAAATCTTATTTAAAAACCTAGCAGGCATGCCAGGCATTGGTGGCACACTCCCTTTAATACCAGCACTTGGAAGGCAGAGACAATTGGTTCTCTGTGAGTTCCAGGCCAGCATGGTTTACAGAGTGAGTTCCAGGACAGGTTCCAAAGGTCTAGAGAAACCTTGTCTCGAAAAACCAGAGAGAGAGAGAGAGAGAGAGAGAGAGAGAGAAAGGGAGGGAAGGAGGAAGGGAGGAAGGGAGGGAGGGAGAGGGAGGGGAGGGGGAGGGGGGAGAATTCCTGTAGGAGAACAGGTAGAAGGCAGAATAACTAGGACACAATCAAGCTCTGGATTCAAGTAGCCCACATGTGCATCCTGTAATTTTTTTTTCTCTTCCACAGCCAATTCTCTTTCAACTTGAGCTGATAATTTTCTTGGACTAGTTAAGTCCTTGTCACCTTGTAAGGTTTGAAATAAATGACTTAGTCCATGAGTTGTTTATCCAGTTGTGTGCCATAGCCAGTTAATGTCTCCCAGGAAAATCTGAAAGTCATTAAGGCTCCACAGTTGATCTCTCTGGATTTGTTCTTTTTGTGGTTGATTTTTTTGTAAACCTATTTTATAGTCTAAGTACTCAATAGAATCTGCCTCTAGCACTCTTGAGTAGTGTGACCCAACTTAAGACACCAACTGCCCCAGCCCAAAACTCCTGCATTTAATACAAGGGCAATGCCTCCCTTGTTTATTAGAAAGCAAATGGAGGTGTGAAATTCGCACTTATAGTGTAAACATAACTACTCAAATGTGTAATAAAATCTCTCCCTCGGTTCTTCCAAGCCAATGCTTTACTAACCTATGTTTCTAACTCTAACTCCGTCTACAGGGTAGGCCAGTATACCCAGGCAGGGGGAGGTGTACATCCCTGTGACTGTTCCTTCTGAAACATGACCAGAGGCCTAGTGGTACAGCCAGCAGTACTGCATGTGCCTGACATGATGAGGCCCTGGATCTGAACCCCAGCACCAACCAACCAACCAACCAACCAACCAATGAACCTCCCCCCAAGAACTCTAGTAGCTATTCTTGCAGCCAGCTGATGCATGCCTCTAACCCACCTGAGTCCAAGCCTGACCAGATGGTCTCTGCCCTGCCCAATTGTGCTTACCAGCTTACGGATGCGGTCCAGCACCAGGTCAATACTCTCCTTGCCCACCGTATAGTGCCCACGGGCATAATTGTTAGCCGCATCCTCCTTCCCCGTGATCAGCTGCTCGGGATGGAAGAGCTGGCGGTAGGTTCCTGCCCGCACCTCATCTGTCAAGAGACAGGACCCTCAGATCCCCATTTCCAGGAGACACGCTCTGTCCCACTCATCTGAGTATGAGACTCAGCTGGAGTGACCCGGTCTACCCTAGAACAATGACTCAGAGATCCAAAGGGACAAGGGCACACTAACCAAGCCCAGGCCCCTGAGCAGAACTAGAAAGGAGGAAGAGACTTGAAGGAGCAGACCACCAAACACCAAAACCATTTCCTCCCCTTCTCTTTTTCCCTCCACCTGGATCTGGATCTTCAGGAGCCCTGTCCTGAGAAAGCCAGACTCCACCTGTGTGTGGTTCTAACTCAGAAGGAGCAGGGTTGCAGCACCTCTACCTGTGAATGTGGCTACCCTCACCCCACCTTGACTGTCAGTGCTGCAAGGCTAGACCATACCCGAGGCCAGACTACAGCGATGGTCAGAAACCTATGCTTTAGGAAATGGACCGTTGGAGAGATTATTTAAGACAGGTTTATTTTATGTAGCCCTGATTGTCCTGAAACTCACTCTCTAGACCAGCCTGGCCTTGAACTCACAAAGATCCGCCTGTCTCTGCCACCCAAGTGCTGGAATTAAAGGTGTGCACCACCACCACCTGACTGAGAAGTTTCTAACAATTTCTAGAGCTTTTTGTGCCTTTTATCTCTGTACCATCAGTAACAATCATGGCCATTTCTTGTCTCAGCAGGTTTAAGAAGCATTTTGTTCTGCACAGCTTAGCAGGATCTGTTGACCCCTATTACAAATCCCCCAAGGACCCGAGGGAAGTCACATGGCTCACTCACACCTTTCAACTCGTTTCCCTCTCATTAGCCCAATCCCTGCACTTTGCTGTTGCAGCAGAGCCCTTGGCCGGTACTCACCTACTACCGTAGGTTCCAGGTCGACCATGACAGCCCGGGGCACATGCTTGCCATTGCCAGTCTCACTGAAGAAGGTGGTGAAGGAGTCATCATCGTTGACCTTGCTGGCCTGAGTGCCAAAGGTCCCATCTGCCTGGATGCCATGTTCCAAGCAGAAGAGCTCCCAGCAGGCATTGCCAATCTGAACTCCAGCTTGACCCACGTGGACTGATATGCATTCCCGCTGTGGAAACAGGGCACATCAAAGTCAGAGGACCCAAGTCCCCGGCCATGGGCCGAAGCCCCACATCTAAAGGCTGTCTCTTCCGCACATCCAACCATCAGGATGCTCGAGCCTACAGCTGCACCACCCCATAACCAGGGTGTGTCTGGGGTTCCAGGTGCCTGGCACCACAACATCTGGCACAGGACATCGTTCCAAACAAGTCAAAGATAGCAACAGACTAACCTTGACCTTACAACACATGGCGCCAGCATTCACATTAATTCCTAAGTACTGACCTTCTGAGATATCACACACAGGGTGTGCATACAGAGCCCAGGACTGTCACAGGGGAGCCACCATAGACACAGTCAGTATGATGGCTATAAATGTGGAAACAATAAATGAGTTATTTACCATCAAGGCCAAGTTAGGCTCTTCTTGAATGTTGAGAAATGAACATTTTTGGAGACACCACTATCTACCTTGCTGTTTAGGTCAGCCCAAGTATTAAGTAAATCTCAGCTTTTGGGTGCTCTTCTAACTTAGTTGCTCTGATTTAAAACCTCAATTGTCTAACTGATTCTAGCATTATCACCTAAGAATAAGGGCTGTGTGTGTGTGTCTGTGTGTGTGTGTGTGCACGTGCATGTGTGTGTGTCTGTGTGTATGTGTGTGTGTATGAAGAACCCTTCCAAGCAAATTTCCTGGAAAAATGGACTCATCCTCCACCTCTTGCCCATCTGTGGGGAAGCAGTGGCCCACATGGGGTAACTCTGTCCTGTGATACCTGGCAGAGCCCAGCAGGGAAGCATGTGCCTGGTCTGTAGGTTTCTATTCTTATCCATGACCTGATGTGGCACTCTCCAGCTCTGAGTGACCCAAGCCAGGAGCAGAAGCTCTGGAGAGCAGAGCTGGTTGAGGAAACAAGCAGTGTATGCATCGAAATTCAGAACCCAGAAGCCTCTCTGGGCACAGGAATGGAGCAGACGCCTTGACCGTCTCCAAGGGCCAGAGACTTCAGGACCAGTTGCTCCCTGGTTTGGTTTTGCAACTGAGTCCCTACTCTCCCCCATCACTCTGCTAGCCCTTGCCACTGGGAGGAAAAGTGTGCAGGCATTCGAAGCCACCAATACGGAGCACAGAGCTACAGACTACAGCCCAGTAGTACTTCCCAACGCCCAGTGAAAGGCTTCGCTCCCGGCTTGCCCACACCCAGGCTTCACAGCTAGCCATCTCAATTCATTTGTTGTATTGTGTGACTTTGGCTGAGACACTTAAACTCTCCTCGTCTGAAAAAAAAGCATTTAGCCGTGATTGACATTGGCTTTACCATTATCATCATATGGCATGATCTAGCTCCTCCTCCACCTGCTGGGAGCGCAGGCAGGGAGTCAGAGCTCACAGGCAGGCTCACTTTGCTCTGGGGCTGTCTTCTACTTCCATTTTAGGACTAAGAAAAGCACACCCTACACAAAGCAACAGTCCCACACATATGTTATTATTGACCCAAAGCTACAGCACACATTCAACAGGAAGCCATGGTTTCTCAGGAAGGAATTGTGGGAACACAGCGCAGGCCCATGAGGAACCTGATTCTGGATCACCTCCTTTAAATTCTGGTCTCATCTGTAGCCCCAAACTTCAGCTTTCTGAGTTTGTCCCTTCGTGTCACCATCATATGCCAACCACCCCCACTTATTGAGGGTGCTGTATGGTTTCCAGTCTCTGACTTCCTTCCAGAACACTCTAGGTCTTCCCAGGGAAGATGAAGGGTTATTGCAGGAAGAAAAAAAAACAAAAACAAAAGCAAAACATGGGAGAAAGAGCAGAGTGTCCTGCAGCCACCAACACATGACCCAGGGGTTTTGGTCTCTTTGATGCCCTCCTCAATCTTACTTGAATATCTCTCCTCCTGATACAGTCTCTCTCTCCTCCTCCTCCCTACTACAACAGCCTCTCTCTCTCCCTCCTCTCTCTCCTTTCTCTCTCTCTTCTCCCCCCACCACCCCCCGGAAAACCAGGCAAGCGATCCACTGCTGAGCCACACACTCTCTCCCAATTAACAAGAAAGAAGAGCAGCAGCAGAAACTGTGCCGTACCAAAACCACATTAGAAGCAGAATGGCTACATGGACCACGCAGAATCTGAATTATAACTTTAACAAATCAATATAGAAAAGCTCATTAATTTTAATGATAAAAATGAGGTTAAGTATGAAAATGCTTTCAGTGTCTAGAATTACGTCTGAAGCACCTAGCAATAAACTTTAATAGTATTTAAAGTACTATTTTTTGATTTTTAACAGTATCAGAGATCAAACCCAGAGCCTTCAAATGTTAGGCAAGTGAGCTACACTCCCAGCTTCTAAAACACATTAATAAACACAGGAGATAAGTAGATACAGCCAAAAATGGTAACTTTTACACCTAAGCAATAAATATATGGGTGGCTTTATACCCATCTACTCTTCTGGAAGTTTAAATTTTTCCATAGTAAAAATCAAGATGTTAATAACAAAGTAAAAGAAATAGATGAAGGGCTGGAGAGATGGCTCAGAGGTTAAGGGCAGTGACTGATCTTCCAGAGGTCCTGAGTTCAATTCCCAGCAACCACATGGTGGCTCACAAACATCTGTAATGAGATCTGGCACCCTCTTCTGGTGTGTGGGCATACATGGAAGCAGAATGCTGTACACATAATAAATAAATAAATTTAAAAAAAAAGAAATAGATGAAAAGTAGGAGTCAGAATAGAGACTCCATCCACGTTAGCCTGGTTCTTCTCATCTCACAGAGCCACCTGCCCAGCTGACTCTAAGGGCGTACCCTCAGAGAGCAAGCAGAACTTTCAAAGCTACATAAGGAGAACTTGCCTACCACAAGCCAGGTCCTGGGCTTGGTCTCTGTTTCCTGTTTGGAATTTTGCATGGCTAGCATGGCCTGGATGCCCACGACCAGGCTGGTACTGAGGTAGGTGCAGCCACCATCTACTCAAGGCACAGGAAGTTCAGAGTAAGAGGGAGCTAAGAGGTTTGGGGTGCAGAGGGTAGTGTTCAGATGCAAGTAAAATTACAACTTCTGTGAAGTTTCTGGGAACTCTGTGGTCTATGAAAATCCTCAGAATTCCACTGGACACTTTGCTCATGGTAGGAGTACTATAGTTTGCGTCCGGAATGCAAAAGGGGAGAAGGCTAAGAGGTGGAGCCCAGCAGTATGTGTCTCAGTTCTCAGGGGCACACCCTCATGGGACTGTGGAAGCCCAGTTTCTCCCTCTGTCTCTTTTGCTCTTTAGCCATCAGGTGTGTGGTTTGTCACTTGCTTCGACCTGTGCCACTTTGCCTCAAACCCAGAACCGACAGGGACAACCAAGCGCACACTGAAACCTCCAAAACTGAGCCAAAATAAACCCTACACTTCACAAGTCCACAACTTCAGGGTCTGTTGCCCTGGCAGAAGCTGGCACAGGGGCAGCCTTCTCTACACCGTCACTCAGTCACCCCTTTTTCCCCCTGAAGTTCCACACAGATGAGCACGGGAGATGAGTGGGTCACCCTTGGGAAGTCAATCCTCACACCCAGTAAAGGTCATCAATCTGCCACGCTGAGGACATAAGAGCCAAACACGCAGCACGTAGGTGGGCCGGGTCCCATGGGTCACCTAATGATTTCTTCTCCATTGCTGGCAGGTCAAACTGAGGCACAGGGAGGCAAAGGTTAGACTGATGGTGCCTGACCTAGAACCCAGCCCGAGCTGGTCCTTTGTACCCTGTCACCCCCTGGCTCACCCTCACTCCGAATTTCTAGGGCCTTGCGGTGTAGCTGCATCTACCTCAGTACCAGCCTGGTAGTGGACACCAGTACCAAGCTAGCCATGCCAAATGCCCAGCAGAAAATGCTCTCACACAGAAATGCTGCGAGCCAATCAGAAATCGGTCTCTTTTAATCTTCCTTTCCTGCTATCTGGAGACTGTTCCTCGGGATAAAGTGTGTGGCCAAAGATGGAGGCAGGCAAAGGTAAGCTGAGTTAGCAAGGACATTTCAGTCATCTGTTGCTCCAAACTCCTAGCTCAGGTTCCCCTTGGTAGTCAGAGTTCCTGTCCCCTCCCCCTCTTGATTCTATTTTGAATCTGGGCCTGTGGCACTCTGTTCTCTTGGGTACCTTGTAAGGGAAGGAAGGCGCTGTATGCTGCCAGAGCCCCTGAACTCAACAATGGGAGGAAGGAGTTAAGGGAGATAAAGAGACGCATACACCCCTCTCAAGAAAAGCAGCATCCCTCAATAGGCCTGATATGTCAACTGTCACTACAAAAGTTCATCCCAACATGATGAGGGCTGTCATACACAAGAAGGTTCTAAATGGCAGTGTGCTGACGTCACTTTTCAGGACTCCAGTTAAATGTCACTGCCTACAGGCAGGAAGTCAGGATAACCACAGAGCATCGCAGGGTCCCTGCTGTGTTTGTTCATGATTGTCTTTGTATTTGTCGTACAACACTCATGATGGTTGCTTCTTCAAGCATCTGTCTTTTCCTGATACAGAGACTAAACTCCATGGGCAAGCGACTGAATCTCCAGCACCAAGCACAGTGCTCGGACATAGCAGAGATGAGCAGAATTAGAGCCCTCCATGGCTTTACAGGACCAGTTAACACCAAGAGCAGGCAGAGCCGAAGAACACAGACACGGCTCAGGGGAGTTCAGCCAAGGGACCCCCACTGCTGACTTGGTCTGCTGAAGAAGGAAAATGGACAGGTCTCTGATGCATTTAGACAGGCCTGGGGACATGTTAGGAATAGTGAACACAAGAGACGGGAGAATTCAGGACATGTCCCACAACTGCCAGATTCTATGGAGCAAAGAACTCATGAAGGGCAGAGCTGGTGGGACAGCTGTGTCCCCTCCGTCCATCCTCCACAGAGAGCATATGTCACAGGAAATCATATTCTAGAACTCTGCAGCCTTTCAGGGCCTACTCTGAGAAACCCTTCCTTGTGCTGATCATACTTAATATATTCCCTCT